CCGCTTGGGGGAGGTGCCCCCTCCTGCCGCCAAGCCTGGACCCGTTTGGCCCAGAGGCTTGGGGCAGCCCCCAAAAGTGCAGCACTTGGGGCAGCTGCCCCAAACCGTTTTGCTCACACGCATTAGGCTGGGGTAGGGGACCGGAATGCTGCCGGGCTGGCACAGGGGTTGAGGGGGTCAGGGGATGTGCAGGGTGCCAGCTCTGGGAGGTTCTTACCGCAAGCTGGGGGAACGTGGCCAGTATGCCCAGCTCCTAGGCTCGAGGGTGGCCAGGCGGCTTTGCACGGGGCCCTGCCCCACAGGTGCCAGCCACTACAGTACCCAAGGGCCATGGTTCCTGGCCACTGCAGAGCCAGCGCGCAGGCTGGGGGAGCACACGGAGCCTCCTGGCCACCCATGCGCGTAGGAGCCTGGGGACATGCGCCACGTGTGGGAGTCATGCAGCACGTGCGCGCTGCTGCTCCACAGCCCAGACTTAACAGCCTGGCTCCCTTTTCAACCGAGCGGTCTGGGCAGCAGCCAGGCACCTGGCAGGCTGTGTCTCCATGCAGCAGGGCCTCTCTCAGTCACTGCCAGCTGCCGCCATCGCCATCGCCACATCCAGCAAGGTGGTGGCTGGTTTTCAAGCTTGTGAAATTCGGTCTCCAAGGCCTAGCACCAACCATGTCTGGCTGCGTGTGGCATCCGCCTGGGTGCAAAAGGTCTCAGTACAGCAGTTTGAAAATGTTCGGGGGGTGGAGAGGGTCAGGGCTCCCACTGCCCTGCTGGTGCTACATGATGGCACCACAGGCTGGAACACGGCTGGCTGCGGGTGGCAAAATGGGGCTCGTCTGGGTTAGTGTTTTAAATAAATATGTAAGTCACAGTAACAACCAACACAGTGAAAGGCCTTGGACCCTATAGAACAAAACGTGTCCGTATGGTTGGGTTGGTGAGGGGTGTTTCTGCAGAGTTGGGCTGAGCATTCCTAAATGGGACTTGTCAGAACTGTTGTGGCACTTTCGGGCCAATTGGAGACAAAAAACATTAAAATGTCGGCCTGTTTCACGCACCTGTCGTGCTCACCATTGGTTCTGGGTAGTGAGACGCAACAGCCGAGTCATTTAGCACCCACCACTGCTGTGGAGCGCATAACTCCTATACGCATGTATAGACTTTTGTCCCACCCGTGGCAGAGTTCCACAGTCTCTTTATTGCTTTTGTCCCCTTGACCTGCAATCACAAACTTATTCCCTTGCAGTAGTCGCATCACTTCTTTTACAGGGGGGACAAGGGTTTGGCTTTTAAAGGGCTGCAGATTTCTTTTCAATACGAATAGCTTATGTGTGAGAACCTTACAGTAGGATGAGTTGGCGTTTCCGTCCTCCCTTGTGAATACAGAACGGAGCTGTTCAGTGCTGAGTTGGAGCCAGTACTTAGGAGTGGGGCGGCTGGAGTAACAGGGCTGAGCTTACAGCACCCCACCCCTGCCGGCTAGTGTTCAAGAGAAGAGCGGCGGCGGCACAATGACTCGCTGACACCCCACTGCTGCTCCCACCCCTCAGCCGTTGACCCCGTCACATGATGTCAATAGGTGCAGGCCCAGGGAGTCTCAGTCTCTGGTGAGCGCTGTCCCCAACACCTGCTGTGGAGACTTGGAGCAACTCAGGCTCTGGCATGGGATGAGCTGATGCGCTGAGACGCTGGGCCAGGGGCAGCGCCACAAGGGAAGGCACCTGGCTGGGCTCAGGGGGCCAGGTAGAGGGCTGGTTTAGGTTTCCCTTGTGGCTGCAGTAGCATGAAAAGTGCAGCACCATGCAAGCAGGGGGACCTGGCTGTCTCCACCCTGGGATGCAGCTGGCCCCTCAGCCAGTCTGTCCAGTAGCTAGTACACTGCTGGGCCATGCCAGGATGGGTCAGACTGCTGCCTAGCGCCCAGCAGTGCACAGAGGCTTTGCTGCTGAGAGGAGGCTGGCCGGCCCCAGGAATTATGCAGCAGCCGACAGTGAACTGGGGTGCACCCCTGTTTAGCTGTCCCTCCAGAGCTGTGGCCTCCGAAGGGCTGGATCCTGTTCAGAGCCCAGAGGCCAGGGGGAACTGTACTCTCAGTGGCAAAGGCTTAGTAAGCACCCTCTCCACTGCTCCTCTGAACCTCACCCTAACTTCATGTTAAGTACACACTAAGGCCCTGCTGTGCCACCGCAGGGAACTATGACACGGGGTGGAGAGAGGGTGGACACATCTCGAGGTAGTGACATTCGCTTAGAGGGGAATTTGTCTAAAGAAATGTTAATTTCTCTTCCCTTCCCAGAAATTCCTACTATGAGAAGTTCAGTTCCTTGTAATTAACTAAAACAGCAGAGAGAAGTAGGTGAAGATGTGGTCCCTTTAAGGCAAAGGGCACCTTCTCTGCACCTGGCTGCAGGAGCTAAGCGGACCGCAGCCCTTCCTGTCCCTGGCCCCCAGCCAAGGGCCCAGGCCTTGGCCAGAGCTGCACTCTCAGTTGGTGGGTTTGAATTCAGGGTGACACTGCTCAGTGATCTGTGATTTGCGCTGGCACAGCACCCACAGTGGCTGCCCTGGGACCTGCATTTATTAAAGGACAGTGACAGCAGCTTTCCCGTGCTCGGCCTTTCAGCTCCTCTCCAACACTAGCGTAGTTCCACCTGCTCTGTGCTGCTTAGACAGCAACACCTGCACAGAAGCTAACAGCGGCTGCTGCTCCAGCAGGGCGAGCTGGATAGATTTCAACGTCCTGCTCCAATGGCTTTGGTTGCAGCTTGTTTTGGCCTCCTCCCGTCTTGCACCATGTGGTGAGCACAGTACAGCCGGGCAGCTGGGGCACATCACACACTCTGCTGGCACCTGATAGGCTGCTACCTACGAGCGAGGGTTGCCGAGGCGGCGCTGTGACCCCATTGTCAGATGAGACCCCGTTCCATTCACCCGTAATGACAAACAGCGCTGAAGTGGAGAGACCGGCTGCCATTTCCTGTCAGCTGCCGCAGGGAAATGGATCCCACTTGAAGCCAAACTGCAGCCCGAGCTTCTGGTCTTCGTTCCACACCAGCTAGTGCTGAGAGCTGTCCCCTGCGGCTGCAATTCCACAGACGGCTGGGCTCGGAAATTGCCATGGCCTGGCTTAACCTCTGGGGCCTTGCTCTGCAGGAAGCCCCTTCCCTGCCACCGGGGCTGGGATTGGCTGGGGTTCTTTGTTACTGCTGCACAGCTGAGGCGAGGCCTGCTCCCCTGGGCTTGGCTCCGGGCCCAGCTCCTCACTGCCTGTTGTCACACACTCTCCTTGGACTGCTTCGCCCGCTGCTTGCGCCGCTTCACAAAGGCCCGC